TAAATAAAAATTTCATCAAATATCTTATTTATAATAATTTCAAAATATATAAAATTATCAAACAACTATATTTAACAATTTAAATAAAACAACCGTCACAAACGGCCCTTAATTTAAAAAAAAAAAAAAAATCACTTCCTCCAAAAAAAAAAAAAAAAGCAACAGCCGATCGCTCCGGTGGAGTCGTGGAGATAAAAGACAAAATGTCGATCGATACCTGTGGATTGCTAAAAGCTCTCGATCGTCACGATGAGAAGAAGAGAGGGAGGGCTGGAGGGGTGCGTTAAAACCCTAGCTGGTTCGCTGTTACTCACGCACCGATCTTTAGAGAGTCATTATGGATCATCCCAACCAAGAAGGCGATCAAGATGAGCAATCTCCTGGTAAAGCGATTATCCCTTTTTTGTCCTAATTGTAGTTTTATTTAAAAGTCTTCAATTTCTCTCTTGCTCTTGTGTTCTTATTGGATTAAATTGCAAAAAGTTTTTCGAGTTAATTTCCTGATTAGTTATTTGATCTTTTACTTATTCACAGCGCTACTAGATCAAGATGGGCAAGATTTTCTTGACGAGCGTGAGTATTTATTGTCAATATCATTAACTGTATATGGTTTTATAGAAAAATTATTATTATTTTTTATTTGCTTATTTGCAGTTGTATCCCAGCTACTGGCAGATGACGTCCCAGATTCATTTTGGGATGAAGTAGGACATGGTGCTCTAACAGGTGTGCAGTCTAATTTCCCGATACAAATGCCAAAATAATAATAATAATAATAACAACAGTAATAATAATTGGTTTTTGTGTTCTATTTGGTAAGCGAAAGGTTGGTTAAATTTTATTTCTGATGTGTGCCCTTGTTACTAGGACTAGAGAACACCACATGCTTTATTTCTGCCTCAGTAAGAAATCTGATAACTCAACAAGTAATTAGAAGGAAAATAAATCTGCAAGCCAGTTATCATTTGCCTTAACACGGTTTAGATTTTACTGCTTCCTCTTCCATTTCAGTGAGCCTTAAAAGTTTTTCGTTATCCTGAGTATATAGCTTCCCAATTGTGCTTTTACCCTTTATAACTCTCACCACCTTATGGAGAAAAACAGCGTTACACTGCAAATTCTTAACTTCAATCCAATCAATATATCTTAGATTTTCTAAGCAATAATAGTTTTTCTTTAGTAGATTCGATGAATATCATATATACACCTTACAGGATTCTCTGGTTTATATATTTTCAGCACCAGGAGCCCCTGACTTTGCTTATAATGAGATTCAGACTCTGTCAAATCATGATAAGGAGTTAAACGAGCAACAATGTGACCAGTTGATTGTGGATACGCTTGAACTTCTACAGCCTTCAATGATGCTGTTAGGCCCACCTGATGCATCTTATTCCATGGATGAATTCAGTCCACTGCCTGCATCCAGCACACAATTGCCAGAGAATCAGATGCCAGCTGGAATTCAGCCGTTGATCCAGGAGCAATTGGATCCAGCTGCAGAGAAAGAACTGAAAAGGCGTGAGAGCAAAAGAGCATGTGATCGAGCATACCGCCAAAGGAAAAAAGTAATTGAACAAGTATCTTTATAATTAGATTTTTACTCTCTGAGTGCGGTCTTTGAATTTTATTGTATGCTATATGGAATGTTCAGGAAAAGGAACTGAAACTCATAGATGAAAATGAGGTAAACGGTCGGCTACTGAATGCACTTAGAGCTCAAATACAAACACTGGGGGATCAATTGCAGAAGGCGCAACAGCAGGTGGAGAAAAACACCAAAGTTGAGGCTGAAAAAGAGTATTGGAAGAAACAGTATCTTCTGTTGAGTGAAAGTTCTAAAAAGAATTCAAGGAAAGAGAATCAGCTGCTTCCAAAAGTGAAGGCCATGAGGAAACAAATTGTAAGTTTGATTTTGTTGTGGTACCACCATTTGAAAATTTGGAATTTGGATTTAACAGTTTTTGTGCTAATCATATCTTGTTCCAGTGTCTCTATCAGAAAAACTTGGGAAAACTATGGATTAAGAAACGAAAGAAGAAACTGAAGAAACAGGTCATGATGGTGGAAAGTGCAGAAGAAACTAAAAATGGTATATTTTGAAATTACTTTAATCTTCTTCCTTTTTTTTCCATAACATTTTGTTAATTGAACAAGTTTTCCATTTTGCTTGCAGATAATTGAATGTCTAGGTTGCTTGATTTGGTTGGGCCTATCATTACCTTGAGGTGAGCAAACCTCTTGTTTTTTCATTATTGCTAAACAGACATAGAAAGTGTAATGAAGTCCAATGAGGGCATTGTCTTGGGTTATTTCACAACCTCACCTTTTTCTTTTAGTCATTGAGAGGGAAAAAAAAAAAAAAATTGTGAACTCGCCTCTTTATCATAAATTCTTCGTATGCATGTTTGATTGTTTGGTTTGATTTTAGTGCAGGTTTCCAATTTTATTGGTTACGGAGAGACATTCAATTTGAGAATCATCTGAGAGGTGTTATTGAGTTCGATGTTTAGATTGCATGGTTTTCTGGATATGATTTCGAGTCTTTGTGGATTTTTATTGTATTGAGGAGTGGTTGAGTTCGATATTTAGACTAAATGGTTTGCTGCATATGGTTTCAACTCTCTGTGGATTGTTATTTTAATAATATGAGTGGATGTTGAACTTTGAGATAGATGGTGATGCTATGATTTTAAGGATATTGAGAAACTTATAAATGTTGTACATTTATGTTGTTATTTTAAGTGTTTTGTGGAAATTTTTGTTGATGTCAATTTTGTCATGTGTCTGATCCAATTAATTTACTTTGAACTATATATGTTGAATTTCGATTGTGATAAATAGGTAATGAGGTAGAGGGATATAATTTACTTTTATCCCACACTTTGGTACAACGATGTGTCATGGTTCTTTTTATTCACATGGGATCCGTGATATTAAATGCATTCACTCATTTAATGCCATGTGAAAGTTGTATAAAAAAGTAAGATAAAAAGATTGTCCCAATAACACCATCTAATTTAATATTTGCAATTTTTGTTACACTTTAGTAGTTTTTAATTCCTCATAAGTATCCAAGGTAATTAATAATCTATTTTACAGAACTTCACCTTCTCTTTCACATTTTTTTTCCAACCTTCCTTTTAGAGATTGATCGTTGAAAAGGAAAAGAATCATCTAAAAAATCCTGTTTTCGACTAGGATTTTTGAGGAAACAGTGGCATATGATACTTGGGATCTTTTTTTTTTTTTTTTTCCTTTTGCGTTATCAACAACATTTTCCCATTCGATATTACACCTCTTCACCGTTTGTAATTCTTAAAAAGAAAAAAAAAACCCACTACATATCCTCCTAATAATCTCCATTTGTAAAAAATATAATTATAATACCATATAAAATTGTAAATTTACAGTAAAAATAAAAAAAATCTATACCTTTTTTAGAAAAGGAAGAACAACTACAATGCCCTGAGATTCTACTTAACGCTATTCTCATATATATAAAAAAAAATCCTTTTTGTTGAGATAATAATATGAGCTTTCTTCATACATAGAAAATTAAACATACCTGTATATATTGATAAACTGAATATTGAATCTATGTAACAATTCAATTTCATATAAAAAAAAAAAATCCATTGCAGACACCCCTCAAACTGCATATCCCTATTTCACATGCATATTAACCACTAATCAAAATTTCAAGGCAAATTATATTATATTAGACATAGGGGATCATCCAAAAGCTCCTCAACATGGTCAAGAAAAAGTAAAGTCTCATGTGCCAGTATTCCTGCGGCCAACACGGGCAACAAAACCAGCTTTAATCGGAGCAACTGATCGTCCAGAGCCACACTGCAAGAACAAGATTAGAAAATAAGCATGGCTGCAAACAAAAATGACATAAAGACCAGGTGCATCAATGCAATCTAGGAGAATGTAGAATATGGGAATAATAAACACCACAGAAACAATTAAGGCAAGTAAAATATCCAACAACAGTTTCAATTTAAAAAACAGTTCTATTCTCTGGTTAAAAAATGAAAGGTGTAGGAGACTTAAAAAAATTCATTTCATCTAAGTGATAAGACAATCTGACAATGCAGGCAGTTCAAGAACCATCATAAACGTCCTTCCATACCAGATTCCTTTTAATCATCTTTTATACAAAATAAAAAGGGAATAAGTTTTCAAGGAGGCTTCAGAACAAATCATTTTTCCAAGTCACAGATAAAAGACAATCTGACAACGTAGGCAGTAAAAAAAGATCATCATAAGCCACAACTGGAAAACAATCTGATTTTTCCAAGTCACAGATAAAAGATAATCTGACAATATGGTCATCAAATTGTTTTTAATAAGAATATTAGATATAAAATTATGCACAAGATATTACAAACATCAAGGAATGACCATCAGCAGCACAGCAGGCCTCAGAACTTCCATATTTTTGTCATCAGCATGACAATCCGACAATGTAGGCAAATCTTAACTCATCATTGGCCTTCTATATAATCAAATCTCTAAAGTAAGACCTAGCATTCTCCCTACTTAAATGGGCAACTTGATAATGTTCCAAATGAAGGTGAAACCTATGACATTCAGAATCTCAGGCTAATGCAAACAGTCCTAAAACCAATCAAAAGTCATGTCAGTAAAAATAATGAAACTGGTATTACTGTTACCTTCTCACATCTGAGAAAGAAGAGACGATTCTCTTTCATGAGTATTGTGTCTGGACTTTTGCAACCAGGGCAAATCACATAATCCCCTGAAAAAATAAGGCATCAAGTGCTCAGAATTCAAGTGTGTTTGTTACTTTCCTTGTGTACATGGTTGTACAAAATAAATAAGACACTTACTGATATAATGACGCAAAATCCATTCAAAATTCTTGGGTGCAAACCTGCCTTTCACAACCAACCTTTGTTGTCCATCAAGAGAACCACTAGTCCCCAGCTCAGCAAGCAAGAAAGCCATAACATGGTCTGGTTGCCGATGCATACTAAAAAGTTTTATAGGACAAAAAGGAATAGTTAGACAGGGGCAGAAGGTTTAAATATCCTTTGAAGAAAGAAATCAATACAAACAGGACTACAGGAAACATGACACTTCTTGGATTGTAAGTGCTGTATGAAGGACATCAAGACACAAGATGCTCTAAAGAATGCAAGGTTATAGTACTACTTTAAAAGCAGAACAAGGCAGACAATATGGGGGGAAAAGAAGATATAAACGTACGTCCTGCAAAGATCCATGAAGTTCACAAAAACTGTTTTCTTTGTGCCCTCACGAAGCACTTGTGGAGGCCTCATAACAGTTCTACGCCTATCCCCAGCAAGCTCTGGGTTATTCTCCCGCAGAATGTTAAACACCCGACCAAGAAGCTGCTTGCATCACATGACACCAAACAAAACCTTGTTATGATAGCAAAAAAGATTATACATAAAACCAAATATACAAGATAATGTTCATAGGGTATAAGAAAAAGCAAGAGTAGCGACCGAAGTGGAATACTAGAAGTGAATTAATGACTTAAAAACAACCAAGATGAATACCATTAACCTCAGATCACTCCTCCACACAAGTATATTAATACTTCAAACAGAAAAGAAAAAGCATATGATGAATTCAGGATATATACCTACTCATATTTATAATCACGATCACTTCCTTCCCAGGGATAGAGCTGCTGCTGCTGCACAATTACTTCACCTTCGTCATCTTCACCAGGATGATCTGAATGGGCAGAAAAAATCTATGAGGCAATAGAACATTGACATGATCAACTATAATTTCAATCAATGAATTTGAATTCTTACCATTCAAATCATCAGCCACATCCCCGATTTCCTCATTCAATATGTTGGTTTCTACCTGACATTGAGAGAAACAAAAAAAA